CGTGAGTTTAACGTTCGAAGGAGGATCGAGATCGGTTCGGAACGCTCGAGTCACGTCCCTTATTAGAGATTCGAGTATGACCGCGAAGCATTGCATGGGATAGGTCGATACGCTTGGCGTACATTTCGAACACATGCTCACTCGCTGGCATATTAGAAACGTTTGTTTCTCAACTCGAGATCGATACAATATCGGACGAGATAGCATTTGAATATCCTGCTACCCAAACGTTTAGTTATCTAACCGGAGCTCTCGTGTTCAGCGATTTGAATATCGAGGGTGTTGAAAAAAGAAGTTGATAGCTGTTCGACGGATCCTCGAAGGATCGTGGTCGTCGAAGCGAGGACGAGGATCCGAGGGACGCGCAATTGAGATGCTTGGCCGATGAGTGAGAAACCAGCGATGTTATGCCGCGGCACGCCGCGTTGGCCACTCCTTTCGCGACTTTGTTCGTACTCTTTCGATTCATTATTCCGGGCACATGTCGCTCAAGGACACGGCGTCTTCGCGCCGGAGAAGATCATCCGCGTGCATTTGCAACGCGTTACCACACGCGCCGCGTCCCGTCACGGTGTTGCGCCACGTTACATAAGAAACGGCTCGAAAACGCGGCTTCCTTCGACCCTACGACGATCGCGGGTTCAAAGATCGTGGAAAACCGCGCGCGGACCACGGCAAAATTTATATCGATATCAAATATCCAATTAAACCGACGCGTCGCGAATTTCCTATTTCACTCTTGCCCCGGCGATATCGTCGGATCGTTTATTTTTTACTGTAATTACGCTCTTCGTCCTAATCGACCGGCATAACGATCCTGCCATTACGACTAGCTTAATCTTCGAATGCAAATCACGAGAATTTTTCATTAGCGCCGTTTGCCTTGTTTCGATACGCTGCGATAATTCTAGCCTCTAATTCGCGCCATTAGGATAACGTTTCAGTAAAAATGCTGTTCGAAATTGCCCCTGTCAACATAATACAGGTTATTAACTTTGATTTATTAAGGAGCAATAATGGTTTCTGACGTTGCATTATTCATTCGGTAATGAATCATAACCAATCGATATATTTTAAATAACACTGATTGATTGTTGATAGCGATCGATAATATCTCGACAGTTGGTCGGAATTACCCCTATCTTTTGGTTCGTCGCATTTTCATTAATTACAACCGCTCACTTATCGCCCTTTAGATTCAATCGAACGTTTGTTACTTTTGATATCTATGTTGTTGTTGAAGGAAGCTCTATCGTTGTGTTTAAAAGGGAAGCGAAACAAGTTTTGCCATTCCCATCGACGCGAAATATCTTCGAGATACGATAAATATCGTTGTCGCGTATCTCGAACGTACCTCGAATTATTCAGCGAACGATACGCTGGCTCGAGAGTATCGGAAAATCACGCTTCTCGTCGCGTTTTACGTCACCGACTTCGCATCGTCCCTTTGAAGGAAATGACGCGCGCAAACAGAATAACAACGCATCGTTGCAGCGTAAACTAAAGGCGGTTGCCCCATGAAACTATATACTTTCGTTGTTCGCCTTTATTTCTCACGGAATAGCATAGACGATCGTGGCCTTCCTTGGGTCATTTTTATTACAATTATTATCTAAAAATCTATCGAACCGATTTCGATTAAACCACCGTTACTCCGTTCTGTGTATATCAGAAAACAAGATAGGCTATCGGAGACGGAGAAAATTTTATTCGAGTAATAGATAACGAACAAACACCAACGTACAGCATATTTATTCACGACGTTCGTACGACGGTCAAAGCTAACAGCAATTACGATTACTTCGAAAGTTTCTAAACATTTTTCGCGTCGAAAGCTGCAAAAATCCGCGATAAATCGTTGCCACGTATCTTCGTTCGTTCAAAATTGTTTTTAAAAACAATGGCTCGTCGCCGGTCAACGGTTTGCAAATAGACCAACCGATAACAATGCCAGATACTCCATTGATTACCGCGGAAGGAGTTACTGAATGAGCAACTTATCGATTTCTCGATCAATTGAATTGGAAGCAAATCGAATTCGCTTTCCATATCGTTGACTTCAATGCCCCGATACAAACAGCAAATTACTGTGTCTGTTACGGAAAAAGTCCGCGTTATCTGGCGCAACGGAAACAGAATACTTTCGAATGTCATTGAAATCGGCAAGAATGGAAATCACGATGGAATTTAAGCGTTACGATTATTCGATTACAAACGTCGGTTCGTGTGTTTCAATTATTCCCGGTCCTGTGTCGACCTGGACTTGAAATCGATATAGAAGTTTTCTCCTACTGCTGTTTATTTATTACGAACGCAAATACAAAGATCGATAGGTTGCTCGATACTTTGGGAACGAGAGGGTTTTAAATTGTAATAATAACGATGATAATAGGAGTACGGTTTTCGCGTCGTATTTATCCACGCTACAACACCGCGATCTTTCGACGTTTCGCAATCCAATTGCAAAATATGGAATGACTGCGAGGACAAACGAAGACCGAGCCGGACCTTAATCTTTCTCATCGGTGAGTCGAGCCAGTCAACTCACCTAGCTATGCGCCATGCGTGGAAATCATGGTTTCATTCATGCCAGACCGACACTGGGCGCGAGTGTGTGCGACCATAAGTGCGTGTATCTGTGTCACGATACGCGTGAACGTGCCGATATCTCGCCTCGCGAATCGCCGTGCGAATTGCTTATACAAGTTGACCCAAAAGTCTACAACTCGTGTCCTTCGTACGCGATCGACGACGAAACGACCAATACCATTAACAAAATCGTTATCCGACCAAAACTACACGAGCAACGAACAAAAGTTGCAACTCCGTGTTCGTCGTTCGTTGAACGAAAATTAGAATCGTGGTACGAGGTATTTGCGCAATGAGCAAACGTTGCACAATCAACCCTCGTACAACAGGTTCGTCGAAGACTACGGCTGAAAGTTTCACGACTTCCAAACACTTTCATGCCTCGGAGTAAGATTACCGCTCCACCTGCTCGATATATCGTGGATATCTAATCAACGATCTGATATTGTAGTTACACGCGAGATCTTGTTTCCTGGGACTGAATCGATCCAACCAACGAGCCAAGTTTCTCCAGATATTGTCGATAATCTCGATTCATCGTGTTCGCTGTACGCGTCATCGAACGTGCACGCGATTTTCGAAATTTCGTGGAAGGCAATCATTCATCGAGGTCGCGACGCGAGTCACCGTGACTCGTAAACAGGAACGAATGAAATTTTATTCGAATGATAGACCGACGAATGACATCACGATGCAGCGATTTATTTGCGCAGCGTTTGTTCGACCGAACAATCACACGTTCGTCCGATGTTAACTATATTAATGATAAAAAAAAAGATATCTCAGACTTAGCGAAATGTCTGTCCTATAGAATCGAGTTTTTGTTTTCCCCACCACGCGAGAAGGGATTCTCGGAGCACCCCGTGTATAAATCGACGTATTTATACGCGAGAGAGACTTCTTACGTGACACAACCACGCAAACGCGCGGGCGCATGCGCAGGAAAGTCACCAGGTAACGTCAAACCGAACGGCATTCATTCTTATTGCCGTTCGAAGCGAATGACGCGTCTGTGTTGGTGAGAGTACGCGCGCGCGTGCGCATGCGCTCGTACTCCGCTCGTATTCCGCTCGAAGAGAGAGGAAACTAGCGATGGGAACGATTCGATCGGTCGTATGGAAATTTTCGAACGTCTCCAGGCCTCGATACACCGTTCGATCGCGAGAAAACGAGCACGTCGTACTCCACGGAAAGTAATTTTACCACATCCGTTACGGAATGGAAAATATCTGAAACTATAGTGATATTTTTCTCAACTTCGACCTTCCTTGAAATTTTAATGCTGCTTTCGATTACGTTTTTCAACGTTCGGTTGCAAACTAAATTTACGATACAGGAAGTATATTTCAGGGTGTGGTTCAGCGAGGCTTCTTTAACGATCGAGCCGAAAAAATTGTATCGTGACACCCGCGAGCCATGTTTATATTGGACTGTGTTATCAGTTTTACGAGTGATCGTCGAGCTTTGATAGATTGCTTCATCAAATACCATTCGCATTCAGCACGCATTCATAGACAGTCGAGCAGAGAGGGAATAGTTTCCGCGAAACTATAAACGAGCCACCTACGAGGTCACCATTCTCATCCGAGCTGGTAGGAAAGCGACGAGGCTCGGCGCGTCGTACGGACCCGTGGAAGAAAACGCGACTACGTCGAACGTGTCGGTGTCACGAACGGAAAGGTGGCGGCTGTCGACTTTCTCGCTAACTTTCTACACGGTAAATTTCATTCACTACTTTGCCCGCGCTCTATGAAAGCGTAGTGTGACTCAATCCGCAGCGAGTCACGCTCGCCCGATCGTCGATGAAGTTGGCACGAAGAGAAGTCGTGCGACCTCGTCTACTCCGAAACGTTCCAGACCGACTGACGAAATTCGACCGCCCACCAGCGAACCATTAAAGAAAATTGAGTAAAACAAAGTATGAACAAATTCTGAGGCCAACTAACGAGGAACCGAATGAAAATTTTAACCCGTTAGGGCAAGCGAGCCTAAGGTGTACCGGAGACTTTTTCGACCGGGTGTATATTGTACCCTCGAAACCGTAAAACCTTTTGTACGCTTGTCCCCGACTGGTCTGCACGCGTATTAGATTCCAGCTGAGACAATAGGGAAGAAACAGGAAGCAACTACTTGGGGCACATCGATTCACGAGAAACTAGAGAACCGGGGGGGGGAAACGGTTGGCTTTCGAACTCGCGTTTACCAACGCTCCTCGGTTTATTTAGAGTTCGTACCATATTGTATAAACGTTTTGCGAAAAATCCTATTTTTGTAACTGTAAAACTAAACTGTTATTTTATACGATATGGTATTGATTAATTGAATCTTGATTGTTACATTTCGAAAGAAAACGAGTTGGTCTGTTGACCAATTAAGGTAAAGGAAGAAAAAATGAATGGATTTTGACTCACCGTTTCGACTAGGGGGCCGTGGGGGCGCAGGATACTGGGGCGGCGTCAAGGGTGGCGGCTGCGGCGACACTCGCGCAGACGAGGAGGTCGTTGAGCCTCGGGACGCCGGTACTAGCGTCGTCGACGTGGTAGTCGTCGTAGCCGCCGTCGCTGTCAGCGAGGACGTGGTGGTGGAGGTGGTGCGCTGCTGCCCGATGTACCTCGAGGCGGTGCTGCTCGGGCTGTTGGACGGCCAGGGCGGGCGCCGCGGTGGCAGCACCGGGGGCGGCTCGTAGTCCAAGGTATCCACACTTTCGGCACTTCCGTTTCACCTGTACCCTTCACCGCGAGCCTCCTCCCCTGATCACGCTCTCTCTCCCTCTACCCCCTTTTATCCGTCGGTTCAGTCTTCACGACACGTCGCGCACAAACTCATCGGCGGTGGATCAACGATCGCTTCTATTTATCTCGCAGTTTCTCACTGTTTCCGCGAGCACAAGATTTCAACGAAATAATAAAAAAAAAAAGAAAGGAAAGAAAACGAAACGACGACGGTGTTGTACGCGGTGATTTACGAAACTCCAACCGGGTGTATCTCTCTTTCGTTTCTCCTTTCCCTCGATCTCTCCCTGTCTTCGACGCTTCTGCTTCTCCGCACTGGTCACGTCACAACACGTAAACACATGCTCGAGTTATATATACGTACTATATATACATATACATATATATATATATATATACATATAACTATATATTATATATATGTGCGTGAATGTAACAGACCTCGACGCGCGGTGAAACGTAACAGAGGAACAAGAAACCCGCGAGGCTAATATCCTGCTCGCGAGCGGTACGGATTATCAATAGGTTTCCGTGGTTCGAGGAACGAAAGACGGCACGACGTTGTGGCTCCGACTCCGTACGAGCCGAGTGGAGAAAAACACAGGCACCAGAAGAGACCGGACGACGCGAGGCAAGACGAGACAAGACGAGACAGAAGGACAAGATCGGTGAACACACACCGCGGGTTCCTCTCGCGCACTGGCCACACATACGGCTCTCTCAATGCTGCTGCTGCTGCTGCTGCTGCGCTTCTCCGTCTCTCTCTTTCCTATTCGCTACGGGATGCGTACTCGAGCGAGAACGAGAAACACATACCGCATCGACAGAGAGAGGGAACAACGATCGGGCCGCGCGAGACAGAGTGAGAGCGCGAGAGAAAGAGAGCCGACTGAATCTCGCGTAGGCCGTCTGCCAGTAAACAGGCTCCTTCATTCACTGCTTATTTTATACGGGCGGCCCCCTATATGCTCCACAGAAATAGCCACTTCTCGCTCTGTCCTTGTCGCGCGCACATGCCACGGCCGGATATATGCCCTCGCTGCTGCCGCTGCTGCTGCTGCTGCTGTCGGGTAGAGAGATCTCCTTCTTCCTCCTCCTCGTTCCTGGCTCCCCTTTCTCTCGCACTCTCGCATTCGTGTCACGCGGCTCGCACCTCGAACAACAGTACTGCCCTCCGTGGAAAAGCGACGAGTAGGAGGCCCTCACCGGCGTTCTCCTTCTCGCGCATCCTTCTCTTTCCTCTTCCACCGTGTGCGTGTGCGAATGTGCGTTCTTCTCGTTCCTGGTTCCTGTTCCTGTTCCTCCTCCGTGAACTTCTTCGAGCCGGATGCCTGACTGCCTCCCTTTATTCCACCCTCCGTTATTCCGCGCCAGACACTGCCACGCTCTGCCACTGTCAGCAGCACCCTGAGGAGACGACAGGTGCGTGATCACCGCGAACGTCGCCCCGTCTTTCGACAACAAACGCAAACGATTCGCTCGAGATATCCTTCGGTCCTGAATATCATCCGGAGATCCTGTCCCCGGACAGTCTTTTGTTGGTAACGTCGTTTCTCGTTACGGCGGTCTTCTTCCCCTGCACGTGCATTGATTCCCGCGATCCACGCGAGTTAAACCGATTACCGACGGTCGGTCCAATAACCGCACAATATTTTCGATGGATCGCGCTATCGTGACTCGAACGGGCCACTCCTGTGACGCGCGTGTTCGTAGTTACGCGAGGAGTTCTCGCTCGCGTTCACTGGTTTTCTCGAATGGCAAGCCTCCGCTCGATTTCCCCGCGATGGCTGGCGAACTGCGCGCACACGCACACACGTCCGATAGAACGAACGCGCGGTACACATACGCGACGAGGGTATGGGTATTCGTGGCGCACGGTCTCCTCTCTCGCGTTAAACGGAAAGAGAGTCGGAACGAGTCGGCTGGAAGTAAGGAAAAAAGAGACGAAACGACGAGACAGCCGGCAAGATGCGGGAGGGGGAGAACGTGTAAAGAACAGACGGAGAGGGAACGAGCGAGAAAAGAGGCAGGATAGAAGGGAGGGAGGAAGAAAGACGGATAAAGAGGGTGGGAGCAACGATCGTCGTGCGAGAGAGAGAAGAAAAAGTTCAGCTGGCCTCGGCGGCCATGCCGGTGTAGATCGTGCGAGCGCAGTCCAGGCGCGTACTTTCCGGCCCGCGGGGCCACCAGTCAACGCACGTTCTCTCTTTTCTCCCCTTTTTCCTCTTGCTCTCCCTTCTTCGTTTCTTCACCCTTTCCACAGTCACTTTTTTCCTCGTCGACGTATTCCTACCAGAGCCACGATCACGTACACAACACGATCTCCTCGTTTCTAACCTCTCTCCCCTTCTGTTTTTTTCACGTTCGTCCGTGTTCCCGTGCCGGTCGACGGTCGGATCGATCTCGGTACTTCGTATCCATCGGTTCACCGTTCTCGTCACTTTCGATTGCACCCACACCGCCTCAAAGTACACGTTACTTCGTTCACGGTAATATACCCCGCACAAACCGAGTCGCGACGAGCCAACTGGACGCGTTCGTGCACCGGATAACAGTCGAACGGAAGGCGAGAACGAGCCCTTTTTCGATTTTCACGCGACAAGTCCTCCGCGAATACGTCGGCGTTCTTGCTCGTAGACGATCGAGGGAACGTATCAACAACGCGCACTCGCGATTCCTCGCTCTCCCCTTCGATTCGTATCGTCCGTTTTTTTTACTAAATACCGTATACCGTTCGTTCTCGCAGCAGGAACGGTCGTGTCTCGTTTCGAGCCGAGGCCGGCTGCGCTCGACGCTGGTGTGGCGTTCTAGACTCTCCGCTCGTTACAAACAGCGGAGCAGCGGCCTGTCGTTCCGTGGGTGGGGTGTGCTCGACGCGCATGCGCGCTCGATATACACCGAACTTGCATACGCGCGCACTCCCACACACCATCGAACCCTCCACACGTAAACAGTCGCACACGCGTCGCCCGCAACCTCACCGCCACGAAAGCACCGTGACGCCTGCGATCCCCCCCCTTTCCACTCCCCCTGGCCATCGTCGCTTCACCAGCGTATACCGTACCCCGCGAGCCAGACACGATACTTCATTCATGCTCGTATTGTGCGACCAGGGCTGCTTCTGCCCGTTTCGGCTCCACGCGCTTTTCAGAAACTCGCTTACACGCGCCTACTCCGCTACACCCGCGCACGATTTTCTCTTTCCAGATGCATGGATACCTTTGGTATCGATCGTCGACCGCCCTTTCATTTCGTATACCATGATCAAACAACTTTTTCTAACCCATTGTGATCCGTGTCTGTGTTGATATTTCGTTTCGGCTAGGTCCTTGTTTATACGTCTTTCTATATTTTAGTAACAAATACTTTACAGTAATATACGTGATATGAATGGAGAATTAATATGTTAAATAAAAGTATGCATGTTGTTTTCTATTTAAAGGTTATGGTTATTCTCCACAGACAGTTTAGACATAAGATCGCAAAGGGTTGATTCCTTCGTAAAAACACGGCAGCGATGTAGGTTTATTACCAACGTACAGCGCGTAAACGAAAATATTTGGACAGTGGGATATGTTTGGATCGGAGCTGGATAAATTTTATCGGCTATTAACAAACAACGTTTCGAAAGTGACCAAGCTCGAAACGAGGATTCGTACAACTTCGAAAATTCGACGCTCCGCTTCCACAAGAAAATTCATAATTATCTCTCGTAAGACGTATGTAGTTGTGAAATATCGACGATTATTTTGCACGCAGTATTCTCGGAAAAAGCGTCGAGCGAAATTAACCTTTGAGATCCGTCAGAATTTTCTTCGTTAAAATTTATCTGGCCACGCCGAACGCGTTCCCTCGGCTCTCTCGCGAGTCGTCGGCGAATTATTTCGCAAAACGTTACGCAAAAAATCACGTTACATCGAGCGAGAAGCTTCTTTAAAATTTCTTCCGTCGGTTGGACGCGTTAGTGGAAGACAGTTTTATTCATTGAGGGATATCGAAGCGAGTGACGATGGTTCGTCGTTCCCTCTTCGCTCCGCGCGACGGCGCTTGAAAAATCTTCGTTCAGGTGATCGAACGTCGTAAAACCGATATACCCCTCTCTCTGTGTGTACTACGGGCTCTCCCACATGTCGGGGAGACTCGGTTCTCTTCGTAAATGTCCGCCGACTACATCCTCTTTCGTCCTTCTCGTTCGCGTTCCCCGACCCGTAATGGCGTCCTCGTCCCGCGTTCTAGCCCCGTCTCACTCTGTCCGTTTGCACGTAAGCCGTACCGTAACTCCGCGCCTCTGTGTGCACACGCGTTATTTATGCGGCCGTGTGTGCGTGTTCCTCCTCCCACTCCCTGTCGTAAGCCAGACAGTGAGCATAAACCAGGCTATCCTCGTCGTTTCCAGGCCCAACCGTCTCTTTTTCACCACGACCGGCCGGCGCAAGGCGGTTCGGCTATTAATCGGACACGCAAGTCCTCGGAATCACGAGAGCGGAATATTGTCAAGATAAATCGACGGGACTCCTGCAAATAAAATTACCGTAAATACGCGACGGGTTGCATCACGTTCGTGCTCTTTCCGTTCGACTCCTCGAGCTTTTTCGTCGAACACGATTTCGAGCCAATAGATTCGATACTGTTTACTCCGCCACGGTAGCACCCTCGACTATCGCAAAAAATCGAAGAGTGAATCGAGGCAACGGGAAGCAGCTCCCAAATTCAACCTTTTTCTCAAGCTTCTGTAACCAAAACAAAATCGAATGTAAATTTTACTGCACGTAATACAAATCTGTACACGTATGACTTATTTAATACTAGCTAGCCTTCCAAAAAATTTGGAAATACGCTGGTTTAACCCATACGATATACGAGAGCCAGGCGAACTGTTTAGTCTACGCGGCGGACATCCAAGATAAAGTGTTTAGGCCGTAATCTCTTGATTCGATAAACAAACATATAATCTTTATATACACGGAAGATATGAAAA